AAGGCATGTGCCACAACTCCAGGCTACTGTCTCCTTGCATGTATGCATTGAAAGTCTTTGGAGCTATGCAGTGGTAGTGCACGCCTTTATTAGCAGCACTCAGGAGGCAGAGGCCAGTGAATCTCTGAATTTGAGACCAGTCTGGTCTTCAGAGTGAGAGCTAGGATAACTAGAGCTACATAGAGAAACCCTGGAGAAACAAAAAAGTGTCTCTGGTAAGGCAGCTCCAAATGGTAGACGATTTACCTTTCAAAGAGGCAGGGAATAGATTTGTAATTGCAAACATACCAGAGTAACTGCTCTAATCTAGGGTCACGGGACCTATCTGCCTATTAGCAGGTTTTGGCTGGAAGAAAAACAGCAAATTCTGGCAGTGTTGAGCTTCTTTTTTTTTTTTTTTAGGTCTTTTTTTGTTTTTGTTTTTGTTTTGTTTTTCGAGACAGGGTTTCTTTGTATTGTTTTGGAGGCTGTCCTGGAACTGGCTCTGTAGACCAGGCTGGCCTCGAACTCACAGAGATCCGCCTGCCTCTGCCTCCCGAGTGCGTGTGCCCCCAACGCCCGGCTAGTGTTGAGCTTCTTTAGACAAGCATTTTAACAGGGCCTGGAAGGAGGGAGAATAATGTTGGAGATGCTTATGGGTGAATCACAGATAACATGGCCTCAAACTGTCAGAAGTCATGCTAGATTAGAAGTTGTCATTGCATTAATAAGTGAGGCAGAGAACTACACACCAGAGAATGATGTGTGAAACAGACCTGAAATCCTTCCTTTTTTTTTTTTTTGAGTTTACAGCTTGGCAAAACAATCAACTAGACATATAGTAACAATAACTTGCAGACTTAAGTGTGTTTCCTGGAACACTGACATCATAAGGGAGCAGAGGTCTAAACATTCCATGAGGAGAGAACATATATCTCTCTCCATCAGACCAATAGCAAAGAATCTACTCAGCCTGAAATGATAAAAAGCTTTCCTGAACCGGGCATTGGTGGTGCATGCCTTTAATCTCAGCACTCGGGAGGCAGAAGCAGGCAGATTTCTGTGATTTACATGTGGTCACTTCAGAAAAAGCCCAAATTCCAAAACTATCACTTTGACTAATTAACTTTAACATACGATTTTTTTACATTTTAGACCACAATAGGAAGAAAAACAGAGTAATAATGAGAGAAAAGGGTCTGAAAAGTGGCCTTATTCTAATCAGTTCCTCTTCTTGGACTCCAATCCGACCAATAACACAATTAGATTAAGAGTCCATTATTGCCGGGCGTTGGTGGCGCACGCCTTTAATCCCAGCACTCGGGAGGCAGAGGCAGGCGGATCTCTGTGAGTTCAAGGCCAGCCTGGTCTACAGAGCGAGTTCCAGGACAGCCTCCAATGCCACAGAGAAACCCTGTCTCGAAAAACCCAAAAAAAAAAAAAAAGAGTCCATTATTGTGGAAAACAAGAGGTGGTGGCAAAAGCCTTTAATCCCAGTACTCAGGAGGCAGAGACAAGCAGATCTTTGAGTTCCAGTACAGGCAGGGCTACACAGAGAAACCTTGTCTTGAAAAAGCCCCCCCCCACACACACACACGCAAAAGTGTCCATTGCTGGGGACTGGAGATGTAGCTCAGCCTGAGCTATGTAGTGAGTTCCAAAAAAACCTGAGATACAATAAAAATTAATCGATAAATAAATTTCTAAAGCCAAAAACTTAGCACAATCTTTAATTTTTTTATATTATGAGGAACAAAGCTAAAATATGAAATTTCCCCCATTCAATTCCAAGAACATGACTACTGTCCCTATCGAATGAATTAATGGATGAATGAAGTGGTGATATCATCTGTCTTAGCTACATTTCTATTGTGATAAAACACCATGACCAAGACAACTTATGAAAGAAAGATTTTAATTGGGTTTCAGAGGTCGGAGTCCGGGGCAAAGGCATGGTGTCAGGAACAGCTGAGATCTCGAGTCATGATCTGAAAGCAGAAGGCAGAGAGAACACACTGGGGATGGTGGGAGGTTTCTGAAGCTCCAATGCAGCAGACATTCTTTTGGGTGACCAACCAGCTCCCAAATCACAACAAGGACACTTAGTATTAGTTATGAATGCTTGACTGTGTAACTTAAAAAGTGGCTTGAGAGAGAAAGATGCCATGCTACAGAGCTCACTAAGGAAAAGGGAATGGAAAACAGGGGTGGGGTGTGTGGAGGTCAGCTTCTGGGGACAGGAACAGCAGAAAAGAGAGAGAAGGGGGAGAGACAGACAGACCAGCAGAGAGTAAGAAATGACTGGGGAGGGGGGAAGAAAGAGAGAGGAGAAAGGGTGTGTAGTGAATGTGCAAAGGAGGTGCTCTTAGTGGCTGCAGCTGAGGACATGTCCTGTCAGAACCCCAAGGGCAGGTTAGTACAGATGCCCGAGCACTAACACTGGCCTTATCCTCTGCATGTCCCACCAGCTCTTATAACTTAAATTAACCTGGTTCTCTTCATCTGTGTTTTGCCTCAGGACTTTTTACCTTTCTTTCATTCTGTATGTCCTACTCAATGTCTGTCTGTCTGACTGCTGCCTAGCTGGCTGACTCTGGAGTCTCACTCCTCTTCTCCCTCATTCTCTCTTCTCTCTCTCTAGCCTGGATCCCTCCTCCTACTTATTCCCTCTGCCTGCCAGCCATGCCTATCCCTCCTCAGCCTAGCTATTAGCCATTCAGGTGCCTTAGGCAGGAAAAGTAACACATCTTTACCTTATTAAACAAATGCAGCATAAACAAATGCAACACACCTTTACATAGTTACAGTAATATTCCACACTTCAAAGCCTGCCCCCATGACACATCTCTTCCAACAAGACCACACCTCTTAATCATTCCTAAATAGTTCTACCAACTGAAGATCAAGTATTCAAACAAATGAGCCTATGAGGAATTATCATTCAAAGAATAACACCGTCTTTACCTTGTTAATTTTTCAACTCACAAATGCCAGATGTAAAAGTATATTGAGATGCCAAGTCCAAATTACCTCTTCCATCCTGTAGCAAGCTAGAGTTGAAGGCAACTGAGCAGAATTATATACAAGAAAAACTCCTGTCCTTCCACTGTTTGCATAAAAGCAGGATATAGGTTTTCAAGGTGCCCTCCTCCCCTTTCACCAGAAGCTAATCCACCTGGACGAATCTTAGATCTTTATCAGCCCAGAAGTGGAAAGATTTTACCCACTACTAGACTATGTCTACTATGAGACTTTCGTATTTTGATTTCCTGTAACTTGTCTTTGGAAACTGAAAACTTCCATCATTACAAATTTATCGTTCTCTGTGGGTCACTGCTACATAACCACAAACTGTAAGCCACTTTAAGTTATTTGTCCCTGGTTGTTCATAAACTTGTGGCATACATGTTCACATTTTTTATTATTAATTTTTTTTTTTGGTTTTTCGAGACAGGGTTTCTCTGTATTGTCTTGGAGGCTGTCCTGGAACTCACTCTGTAGACCAGGCTGGCCTCGAACTCACAGAGATCCACCTGCCTCTGCCTCCCAAGTGCTGGGATTAAAGGCGTGCACCACCAACGCCCGGCTTATTATTAATTTTTTAATAATAAAATTATTTTTTATGAGACAGGGCTATATATAGCTCAGGCTGGCCTCAAACTGGGTATGTAGCCAAGGTTGGCTGTGAACTCCTGACCTATCTTGCCTATATCTCCCTAGGATTTAGAGACAATGCCTGGCAGCTTTCCCTCATCAACGGGTGTGCTTTTAAGAGCAGTAGACCAAGAAGGGCAGAGGGGCAGGCTTTGCTGCCTTTCCTCACTTCCCCATGGAAGTCTCTGGACTCAGGCTTGCTGTCTCTATTTCTGTTATCATCTCTCCCTCTTTTATCTCTTGCTAGGGATTAAACCAAGTGTCTCTTGCATGCCAGGCCACCAGGCTAGTGCACTACCACTGAGCAGTTCTTTTTTTTTAATTATTTATTTGTATTTTATGTACATTGATGTTTTGCTTGCATATATGTCTGTGTGAGGGTGTTGGATCCCCTGGAACAGGAGTTACAGACAGCTGTGAGCTGCCATGTGGGTGCTTGGAATTGAACCCAGGTCCTTTGGAAGAGCAGCCAGTGCTCTTAACCACTGAGCCATCTCTCTCCAGTCCCCAGCAGTTCTTCTTATTCTTCAGCTATCTACTTTCTAGGGTTCATTCAGATTACCATTCCTTTTTTTTTTTTTTTTTTTTTTTGCCAGATAGGTATAGATGATGAAATCAGGGTTTTCTGGTACATCCCATAAATGGTTTCTTTATGAAAACTTGGACAATTCCTAAATTCCCTAGGCTAAAGGTTGCTGTAGAGTTGCCCTTCTGGATCTGCCCTCCAAGAGTAACTCTAGGGTGAGTGGGTATCTTGCCACAGCTCCCTAGTTGCCAGGTTGGAGGCAGAAATGCATCTGAGTGCTTTCCAGGTCAGAAACTAAAGGCTGGGCTAGAAGAGAGTTCTGAGCGCTTGATTCTCCATGAGGAACCAGTTGCTCTGCAATACTGAGATGCCCACAAAGGCTGCAATGCCTCTTTGATAATTATATCGTTCAGGAAGAACTCTTTGAGCTGGGGACAAGTTCTTACATGGGATTTTGGGCAGGGCACCATCGAAAAGTTCTAGCACCAAAAACAGAAGAAAAAAAAGGTCACAAAGAGATCAGATTGGGGGTCACCAAATGGAGTTTCACCCCTTAATTTTGTTCAGAGCTGACTCCGAGACCTGAGCCTTTTGGTCCTTGCGCAAGGACGCAAACTTTTGGGTGAACGAGGCAGCCTGACGGAGTTTCCCATCGATGCGCTCACATGGTGACTACTACAAACACAGCACAGTCTCTTCCCTCTGCCCATCTCCAAGATGGCGGCCGCGCGACTGCCCCGTCCTTACCCGTCTCCAAAATGGCCGCCGCGCCCCGCCCACCCCCTCCCCTCCGGGACTGCGCAGCTCGCTCCCGCCGCCCCTCCCTCTGGAGCTCCACCCAGGTCGCTGGCAGCGCGGTCGGTGGCCGCGATTTCCCGCCATTGTGAGAAGTGGAGGTTGCGCCCGTCAAGCCTCCCCTGCCGCTGGCCAGCAGCTCTGAGGCGTTCGTCACCGCTGCAGCCTCTCCTGGCGGCCCGCGGCTCGCGACGCCCCGCGCGTGGGAGGGCGCAGACGAGCCCCCGAGGAGCAGCGGGCTTTCGAGCGCGCTCGGCCCACGGAGAAGCGCCGCACGGGCCGCGCTGGCCCCGGCTTTCAGCGCCATGCCCTGTGGAGAAGACTGGCTGAGCCACCCGCTCGGGATCGTGCAAGGCTTCTTCGGTGAGTGGCGCGGGGCGAGCAGGGCCGGGAGCGGAGCCGAGTTCGCGTGGCCGGGCCTGTCGCGCGGCCGCACTCGGGACGACGGTCCGAGAGATCATCGCCGAGGGTTCGCGTGGCCCCGGGCCTGGCAGCCGAGCCGGAACAGCCCCCTTTCGGGTCGCAGCCGCAGGTGCCGCCACCTGCCCGCTGCCTGGCTCTGGCGCGCGGGCGGCGGGGACGCAGCTGCAAGTGCTGGCTGTGATTGACGGCCTGGCTCTTGGCTGGTGGCCTACCTAGCTCGGGTGCTGCAGACACGGGCAGATCCCCTTGCCCACCGAGGGCCCGGAGAGCGGCGGCGGAGGGAAGCCTGCCTGTGGGAGCCTGCAGGATATTTCAAAACTTCCGGTGTATGTATGTGTGGGGTGGGGTGCTCGATCCATCGCACAGAAGTTCACTCTGCCCGCGTTTCCACTCGACCCCCTTGAGATGGGTGGCAGTGCTTTATTTTTCTCTTCTGTTGACTTCAGAACCCATCGGCTTTGTTACCTGCTCCCGTGCCGAGGCAAGCGAGAAATAATTAGCTGTTTACATGAGTTTCTATAGAGCACGAGCCGAGGGTGCTGTAGGCGAGCTAAGTAAATTTTTAGTTGTCATTGCCATCGTTCCTTTTTTTAGTTAGCTAGACCTTCCGATTCCCACTCATCCCTGATTTCGTTGCGCTTAATGACGACGGAGTCGGACTTCATTAGAAACCACTGATAGATCCGCTGCACCTGACTTGACTGGAATTAAAGGGTTGTGGAATTCTCTCAGCTCGTTTAAAACATAGTGAGTGGGCAGAAAGGTATTTCATTGGAGATTCCATACTTAGCATGTGCAAGGCCCTGGGTTCAAACCCCTTCCTAACACACACACACACACACACACACACACACACACACACACACACACACAGAGGCACGTACGTTAGGGAAGAGTTAATAAGAAGCCAAAGTCCTCAGCAGCCCATAACCGATGTCATGAAATATATTCTTTTGTTTCCTAGACTGATACAGGCTGGTGCGGGGTTCATTGTATAGCCCAGGTTATCTGTGTCAGTTCAGTCTCCTAAGTGCTGGGGGGTCACAGGCACGAGCCACCACTCTCCATGGAATGTGTTTCTTGTAGTAGGACCTTAATGCTCCCACAGCAACTATTCATTCTGCCTAGAAATTCTAATTATGTTGTTTCCCAGGGTGAAACTAAAGCCAGCAGATAGAAGTACTGTAATCAGCGAACACACAGTCTGATGAAGAAGGAAGGGGAGGGGATGAATGTGCCTGCTCATGAAAGAATAAAACATGGGCTTGGGTTTATAGCTCAGTAGTCAAAGACATGCCTGACCTGCTGACTGGTTTGGGTACAATGCAGATGGAGAGACTCAGATTCATGTCTAGTAATCTAGGGTGGTTCTCAAAGGGAATAGGCAGTTTACTTGTGATTCTATCATTTGGAAGGCTGAGGCATAATTGCTAGTTTCAGAATAGCCTATACCATGAGGTATGGGGGGGTGCTGTGTTCCTTCATTAAATGCTAGTAATTAGAGCTCAAAATATTGGATCCAGCAATAGATGTTGAGAATAATAATGACTCCCAAATGTCAAGTGAAGATTCAATTCCATACTGGCTGAAGGTACAAATGCATAGGTACATTTTAGGAAAAACCCTTCCATTGTTAAAGGTTTGGACCTTTAAAGGGTTAAGTTCCCATGACTGATATTAGAATTCTTTATCATTTCTTTGAGACAGGATCTTTAGGCCAGGCTGGCCTGGGGCTCATGGAAGCCCTCCTGCCTCAGGCATGTGCCACCTTGCACAGCCAGAATACCCATTTATGAGAACTATCCCAGTACCCTGGACTTGCTGTAGGAATAAAGTGGCCTTAAATATAATACGATTAAATATATTTTTTGTCATACTTTGTTTCTTAAGTTGTAATCCTAAGGTTCACATACATCTCATAGTACAGAAAAAATAATTTGATTATAAATACTATAGTATTTTATATAATGAATGAGAAAATAAAGGACATGACTGGTCCTAGGTATGGTGAAGGAGAGAAGGTTTATTGTAGATAAAAGGGAGAGGCAGGGACATGGGCAGGGGGAGTCTGGAGTGGACATGGCCCTGAGTTGAGCCATGTGCTGGTGGTGGTGGTGCTGGTGAGCCTGACCGAGAGGCCAGGAAAGTAAACGGTAGACAAAGAGACCAAGAAACCAAAATGGTTGGATTATAAGGGGAAGGGCAGCCCAGCTCCTGGGCTAGAGAAGTTTAGGGTAGGGGGCAGGGTGTGCCAACCATACTCAGTAAGAGACAGGTACTGAGGGATGCAGGGAGAACCTGGCCCCCAGGTCCACTCTGATATGTTAAATAGGCATCTCAGCCATTTGTCAGGGGTTTGAGACATAACATGAATCTTGTGGAATGTTTTGGGAAGATCATCCTCAGAATGACCTCTTCCAGAGAAGTGTAATCTGCTCTTCTCTGCATTGGCTGCTGTTTTCCTGTGTTGTGATTCCATTAAGCACCTGCATGGTAAAAGCATTGAAGGTATTGCATGAGTTAAGGTTGGAGACAGTGTTGGTTTGTGTTTGATTTTCCTTTTGGTGCTGGGGATTGAACCCCATACTCTACCACTGAAGCTGTAGCCTCTGTCCCAGGGAATTGTTTTAGCTCTTGTGTTTTCTCTTCAGATAGAAAGATAATTGGTGTCTCCCCCCCCATGGGGACTCTTTTTTTTTTTTTTTTTTTTATGAGAGAGGGTTTCTCTGTATTGTTTTGGAGGCTGTCGGTCCAGCCTGGCCTCGAACTCACAGAGATCCGCCTTCCTCTGCCTCCCGAGTGCTGGGATTAAAGGCGTGCGCCCGGCTCCATGGGGACTCTTTAAGAAAGGAAATATGAAGGGCCTCTGTTGTTTAGGGTGACCAATTTTGTTTACTGTAGTGTCTACTCTTTATTTTGGCTGTGTTGGGATTGAACCTAGTGCCTCAAGTGTGCTAGGTAAGCACTCTACCAGTAAACCATACCCCTAGCACTCAATTTATTTTCTTTGCATGGAGTTAGTTTGTTACAGTTTGGAACCCAGAAATTTATACGTGCTACATAAGGGCTCTATTACTGAGTGGAATCTAATCCTTGGCTTTTTGAGATAGTGTCTCCCTTTGTAACCTAGGGTTCTGAGCTTGTCATTCTCCTGTCTCCAATTTCTGGGACTACAGCTATGGGCCATTACACCTTGCTCTATAGTTTCTTAAAACTGAAAAATGTGGTATTGTGCATATTATTTATTTCTTAATATGTCTTGAACATCTTCCTATCTTAGGGAATTTATTTTACCATTCTGAGTGTCCCTGTTGTGTGTATATATATTTATATTTTTTTTTTTTTTTGATTTTTCGAGACAGGGTTTCTCTGTGGCTTTGGAGGCTGTTCTGGAACTCGCTCTGTAGACCAGGCTGGCCTCGAACTCACAGAGATCCGCCTGCCTCTGCCTCCCGAGTGCTGGGATTAAAGGCGTGAGCCACCAACGCCCGGCGTCCCTGTTGTATATTGTTACACAAATTTATTATCCTGTCTCATATTTTAAGTTAGGTGACTAGTCTAGAACTGTGTTGTCTGATACAGCAGCCACTTACTTAAATTAGTTAAAATTGCACAAAATTAAAGGTTAAGTTCCTTGTTGTTACTACGTTTCAAATGCTCATTAGCTGCATGTGGGCAGGGACTGTAAGAGGCAGCAGAGTTGTAGAATATTAAAAGACTTACTTTTAACCGTGTGTATGTGTGCTGGGTTGTGGGTATGTTCATGTGAATAGAGTTGCTCTTAGAAGCCAGAGGTGTTGGAAACCCCCCCCCTCCACCACCACACACAGAAAACAAAACAAACTGGAGTTGGGGACCGAACTCAGGGAGCAGTTCTCCATCTTAACTGCAGAGCCACCTCCCTAACCCCATGCCTGTGCTTTTAAGTGGGATCTTGTGTGGTACAGGCTAGCCTTGAACTCACTGTGTAGCTCAGGCTGACCACAGACTTAATCTTCTGCCTCATCACCTAAATGCTGGTGTTACTGGCATGTGCCTCCACACCCAGTTTCTGTCAATATGTTGTATCAGCTTTAGTTATTAAATATTTCTTGTGCCACCACACCCAGCTTCTGTCAGTGTATTGTATCGGCTTTAGATTTATTAAATATCTCTTGACCCTGTCCAGAAGTCTTCAACACTGATGTCATAGCCCAGCATCTGTCATTTTTTGGGTGTCTGTGACAGCCTCCTTTCTTGTTTCTAGTATAGTTTCTCTCCTACACTTTCTATGCTGGAACCACTAGCTTTCGGTTGTTCTAGAGGCTTTTCCGCCTTGAATTCTCCATCCTTCTACCTCAGCCTCTGGAGTGCAGAGATGAGCATGCCTACTGCATCCAACTCCTTTGACCTTAGTATATTATGACCTTAGTATCTGATCTAGTCCTTTTTTCTTTCTCTGGTACCCACTGTCTAGCCGAGGCTGGCCTTGAGCCTTCCAAATTCTGGTATTACAGGCAGGTACCATCATCTCTGGCTTTTATCTGCATGTCTTTTGAGGTGTTTTATATCTACTTGTTTGTTTCTCTGTAAGTATATATGTGTATGTACAGGTGCCCTGGAATACCAGATGTTGCAGGCAGTTGCTAGGAAACATTTTTTACTCTGGTTTTCCTCTTAATTTTTCATTTGTTGCCGGGCGTTGGTGGCGCACGCCTTTAATCCCAGCACTCGGGAGGCAGAGGCAGGCGGATCTCTGTGAGTTCGAGACCAGCCTGGTCTACAGAGCGAGTGCCAGGACAGCCTCCAAAGCCACAGAGAAACCCTGTCTCGAAAAACCAAAAAAAAAAAAAAAAAATCATTTGTTTTCTTGGTTTTTTTGAGACAACGTTTTGTGGAGCCCAGGTTGGCCTCCATACCACTCTAACCAAAGATGTGTCTGGCTCCCAAGTACTGGAAGG